CTTGGTGTTGCGACCGGACCGTTCCCATCGCATTCATCAGCAGCATCATTCTGTTGATGGGATGTATGGTCAGGTTGCTTGTGTAAGGCTGAATATGTGAGCTAGGCAGCTAGACTCGTTTTCATTTGAGGATTTTGAGGGTCTCCCGGTGTTGGTGTGTGCCTTCAATTCAGACATTCAGCTTGACAGCTGAGCCACAGCTTGGACAGGTCAGCAAGTCAATGCCTTTCCCACCACCAACTCGATCCAGGCACGTGTCGTGTGTCATTAAAGTGAACACCAACAGCTGAACTCTCGGTTACCATGTTCCGCGTATATATTGCAGAATGCCCACGATCTGCCGGAGGGACCTACTTGTACAGAGTCCTTTTGCATTAACGACCTGTGACTAGCCTTTCCGTTCCATGCTGTCGCGTTTCTGCTTAGCCATCGATGCACCTGCAGGAGCACTTCGGTGGGAAGCTCTGAAGAGAACCTGCAGCTTGGCGCCACAAGATCGTGAAGATGTCAAAGATAGCCAGGGTGACGTATATGATGACGTAATATGACACATACGATCCCAAAGTGCAACCAAAAGTATTGTCATATAATATGTTATCAACTAATGATACGAGATGTTATAGACTTTTAATTTTAGTGACTCTGCTTAGCCTAGCTTTCAGTCTCCAGCTGGTTTGGGTTTCGGACGAGTTGTGAAGGCGTGAAGATGATCGCACAAGTCCTCGGTCTCTTCAATATCCCTCCTTATTGGATGCTAAAACAAAGGGACAGGACCGTCGTTTTTAAGCGACAAAATCCTTGGACTGATCTTGAGTGATAGAATGATGTGGAGAATGGACTATGTAGGACTTGCTGATCTGTCCCCTGAGTAAGACTTGGGCGCGGGTCCAGGAGGCAGAAGTCAAGGCAACATGGCCAAAGTCATCATCAGGCACGTGGCAAGGACTCTTTCTTGAACCCGGGGCTTTGGCCTCGCACACGTCATGTGCATTCGCCAGGTGTTTTGGGCCTCCCTGACATCGAGTACCCTTTGCCCTGGCAACTCACCGGCCATGTGCGAGAGACCATGTCCTGCCCAAGCAGTGAAATCGGTGCGCCACCGGGTCTCGAACACCTGGGAATCCCTGTGTTGCCAAACTCCTCCCCTGCGAGCATGGTTGAAGTGGAACCTCCACCAGGCTTGCGTGAGCAGTCCATTGAGCTGGACTGTGGTGACGGTCGTCAGATTCTGATCCCGACGGTGCACTCCAATGTGCCACCACCCCCAGCTCACTCGCCCACCTTGCCAGAGTCTTTGAAATTCGACCTCTGGCAAGGCCCGATGGGCGCGATGGACCTACCTGATGTGCCCCTGCCACTCTTGGCGAGTCTGGGCTCTTTGAATCATGGAGTTGGCACTTGCAAGCCTTGCGCCTTCATACATACAAAGGGATGCTCAAGTGGGGCTGACTGCACCTTCTGCCATTTGTGCCCACCTGGCGAGAAGAAGCGCCGGGCTAAGATGACAAAGCAAATTGCCAAGATGGTAGATGGAGCGGTGTCTTGTGGAAATCAATTGCTTCCGTCCGCTGTGTAGTATGCGGATGTATATAGACAGACACTTGATTCTAATCCCTCATGTACAGCTTTGAAGGGATGCTGCTTTCTTGGCTTGGATCGCTGTCGGGCATGCATGAGAAGGGCGCTAATGATTAATTACACTTGATCACATCAGATTCGATTCTGATTTAGGGCTTTGAATTATATATAAAATATATCAACCACAAGCGGTCAACTTAGACCAAGATTAGCCAATGTGGTAGTCGCCTTTGAGCGTGACAAGGCCAGAGAACCTAGAGAAAGCTCTTGTGCAAGTTCTTCAGCATTGGCATCCTAGAGCGAGGCATAGTTACGTTTGCTCGGTTATGTTTGTGAGCTCCCAGATCGTTTGAGTGTTATTTGTAGTTCTTGAACACCTGCCCAGCTCACTCTAAAGCTGCGAGCAACAGCTCTTGTAGCTGGAAGGATGCCAAAGGTTCCAAGCTGACGCGGGCCGGAGTGCCTCGCAGGAAGGCACACGTCATTATGATCTACGTTAATCTGCACTGCGCAGTACTCTTCCGCATCGGACTGTGACACAGACTTGCGGTGATTTCCCCTGCCATTGTTTGCAGTGGTATCGGTTGCAGCTGCCTGAAGCGGATATGATATTGTTCAGAAGTCAGAAGTGCTTTTAGGTCATATATGTTTATTGAGAATTGCACATCTAGACTAGCAATTTCAGTACCAAGTTTGCTCAAGCCCTGATACTTTTAGTTTGGGCGAACAAGCGTGTTGACAGACAAGTATCGCGAGACCACAGGTTCATCATCTCTCAGGCAAACAGCCAACAGCCAACAACATTGGATGGATGGAGTATCTCAGTCTCAGACTGCTATGAGATTTCAGAGGGAGGTGTTTCCAGTGTGCACATAAGTTTACACTCCCGAAAACTAACATAGACCTGACAATGGCCCCCTGGAAGAGTGTTTTCCTCTACCAACCAGTGGTTTTCAGAGTCCATGTTAGTCTTCCAGGGTGTAAATACTACAAATCTACATGTGAGGCTTCTCAAGTAGCATTTGGTCGAAAGAGGCAGTTCAAGAATCAAACCAAGCCCAAAACATTGAAACCCAAACACATGTTTAAACAAACACTTCTCACTTGTCACCACATGTATCCTGCTTAGCTTCAGCTCAGGACCTGTCCATGGGTCCAAACGTTTTGCTTCCTGTGTTTTTGTGGATCAGACCTTTGCTTCCTGCCATTGCTCTCGCCATGCTTTGTGTGATACCCTGACGCTTCTCCCTTCAGAAACTCAAAACAACTGCAGAGATTGGCTGTCCCCAGAATTTGGTTCTTCCCAGATTTGGTTCTGTATTTAAAGTTTCCTTTGGAACATAGCAACCCCTTTTGAAACTGGATTTGTTTGACATGTTCCTGAATGAAATGTTGTTTTTAAGAAAACTGCATGCCGGCCGGTTTTTAAGCAACATACCTTCCTGCCTGTGGGTGCATTCTTGCAACTTGACACACACACACACACGATTCGGCACCACCCAACTACCTTGACCTGCGTTTGTTTGAAAAATTGGTTGAAATCATTTATATAGGTGCAGGTATTTTATTTAAGGGGTTCTGTTTGAAAGCTGTGCCTTTTTGTGAAAGACTTCCTTTTGGATTTATATAAATTGAATTCAGACACATTTAGAGAAGCAACCTTCCTGGGAGGCACGAGGTATTGTTCTTGAAATAGGCTTCTTCCAAGCTACGCCATTCTCAAAAGACATCACTTCCTTTGCAATTGCATCGGAAGTTTTGCACGATGCATTTCCTTGAGGGTAAGCACTAGTTCTTGCATGTTCTTTATAGAAAGCAAGCGGGTTTGAAGCATCAGTGTTTTATTTGTTCAGTTGCTTGGAAATCTGTCCCCCACCAAGCTGGCACTCACCTGGGCAACATGGCATTGAAGAATGTTGCCCCAGAAGCATCTCACATGCTGCATTTAAAAAAAGAAAAAACTATACAAATTGTTCCGCAAAGAATACTTTTGCAAAGATGAAGGCTTTACTTAAAGAACATCCTTTGCAAGAAGAATACGTGTTGCAAGGCTGAAGGCTTTACTGTACATAAATTCACGAAGGAGCAAGCCTGTGACACAAGAAATGTGTTCATACAGGAGCAGTAGATTCTTGATTCAACATTGTATTGCACATATTGAAAGCAGAGTTACCTTGAAGGCGGGCAGGTATCTCTTAGAAGCAACTGGTTTTGCAGCACGTGAAGCACGTGCAAAGCATAGGTCCCCGAGCCAAAATTGAATCCACCAGGGTACCATTGCATTGAATATTTCTTGCGAAATGTCTCACATGTCGCATTAAACAATAACTACATGTAGTGTTATGCTGCCAAACCAAGACTACTTGTGTACAGATGACGGATTACTGGAAGAAGCATGCTTTCTGTAACAAGAAGAGTTTTCCAATACCAGGGCTTTACTTAAAGAACATGTGCCACTGCAAAAACAATACTTTTGCACAGCTGAAGGCTTTACCAAAAACTCGATTAAGTGGGAGTACACATGTGATAAAACGGTTATTTTTCTATGTATAAATATATAGAGATGTGTAGACTGACCCTTCATCAATATTTGCTGACATGTGCCTGTGGAGAATCGATTCTTCTTCTGACATCTTCCTCTACATCTGTCAGACTGTGAAAGGGCACAAGCTCATACAAGCCACATGGACTTTGTCCACGACACATGTCAAAAAAGCACAACAACATAGTGAAATCACTAAAAAACTCACGGCCCCCGTCTCCGTGTCTCTCTCTCTCTCTCTCTGTTTTGATTTCCTCCATTATTTCCTGCGGCGACACTCAAAGTATAATACGTATAGTCTTATAAGTCTTTAATTAACAGTTGCTGGTTCCCCCAATTCATGCGTGCAGCTGGGCCAGCTGCCTTGAGGCTGGGCTGACTTGCCATATTTAAAACAGCCTCGATGCAAGCAATACCTCTGTCGCTGGTAGTGCTAGGAACAGCCCCGGACTCATTTGCAGCTCCTGTCTTTGTCGACAACTGCTGGGGACCATATAAAACACCACATCTGCTTGCTGTTTCCCAAATGAGGGTGCGTACCTGTGATGCATTGGCAATGCTGCAGTTGAAGAGAGGCCTATATACTGATTGTTTTTGCGGACCAGCCACGGAGAGCTGGCTCCCGCACTTTGCTTGGTTTGTGCAGTATGCCTGGGTGCCAGGTTCAGACTGGCCACGCGAAGCATGAACGTCCAGTTTCAATCATGTTATTTGCGTACTTCAAAGCCTATCCGTTGTTGCGGCTGATGGACTGTCGACAGTAGAGTCCTCGCTTGCGGCATTGCCTCTAACAGTTCTAACATCAAGAAATTAGAAAAGTATGTCAATAAATATCACATTGACTTGACATGTTTGAGATATTGATATTTCCCCTTTTACCCTTTTGGAGGCTTGACTTGACGGACGGCCCTGTTGTAGCGCATGGCACAGACCATAGATTTCCTGGCTTTCAGCCCAAAAGAGTGTTAGTTTGGCGGATGTTTGCTTGTCGGACAAGGTTTTTGATTGCAAGAACGTTTGAACGCACGGATTCCTAACTTGAAGGTCATGTGATCATTGTGATACCTGGTGGCTCCAGATGGGAACAGTGGGACGGTTGTAGGAGCTCAACTGGGCATGGCAGTCTCAAACTTGTCGCAACTACAGAAGTTTCAGGCCGAGGCGAGAGACACCCCGGCTGGAGGTGGGCGCTCTCGGAGCACTTCGGTGGGTAGCTCGCAGAAGAGTCTCCCAGGTGCATGGGCGAGCCCACCTGAGAAGAGTGCTGCTTGCAGCTCCAAAGGTGAAACTCGCATGGAGATTGAAATGGCCGATGTGCTTGATGTCCTTGGTCTCCAACAGCCTTTGGCTGAGCCTTTGTCTCAGCTTCCTCTTTTCCCCAAGGTCACCACCACCTTTGACGACTTCCTCTCGCCAGCCAATTCCCCGCGTGGGTCTGATGCATCTTCACCAGTCGCTCCTCCAGGCTTGACACTCGATCCCATTCAAAGCCAAATGGCACAGCCTGCCATGGCTTTTTGGGAGACATTGGAGCCAGCTGCGCCAATGGCTCCAGGCGCTGTTTACCCTGAAGCAACGCCATGGCCACAGCCCAACTACGTGGCGAGTGGTGTGCCCTCTGTGGGTTCGGCGAGTCATGGCACAGGCCAATGCAAGCCCTGCGCCTTCCATCACACCAAGGGATGCGCCTGCGGCACGATGTGTACATTTTGCCACCTTTGCCTTCCAGGGGAGAAGAAGCGCCGCCAAAAGGAGAAGCAACAAGCTGCCAAGGTTGGATACTTGGGGGGTGAGTGGAACACAACTCACCTTGCACAACTTTGAGTCATGACATTGCCACGTAACTCACAACACAAGCAGTGTCATGTCTTTGGGTGTCGGGCCAGATATAAAGACATCACAATTGCAAAGAGCATGCGGAGTCGAGTTGTTTTTCTCATTGAGTGACAAGTGCCTTTTCATCGCGGGTGGGACTTGCATAATGGAATGCTGCACCCAATTTACGCGGCGACCAGGTGACATACTTTGAGTGTGTCGCTGTTTCAGGGGTGCTCTCCATAGTTGGTGGTATTCATGGTCAATCAATGCCAAGCTTAGCAGGATAGCAACACACCATCCGGGCAATTTTTAAGCTACGTTGGAAAATATCATGGGGAGGACACAATTGAGGCGTTTGTGTTGATGTGGTACGTTGTTCTAGAGTAAGCTGCACTGGTGGGATTCTCAGCTGTGGAGGCCAAAGCAAAGACTCGGGACCTGAACTGAGCGAAACATGAGCTGAAAGAGCTGGACAGGTGCTCTTCAGCGGAAGTAGGTGCCGTTTCACACGGAAAGAGTTGGCCACCTCACCGAAAAAAAGTGAGACTGAGATCATCGAAGACGTATACGATACCATTTGATACCTACTCATACCTAATTCCTGAACCATCAGATGCTTAGTTGTTTGCTGAAGATGATCGAGTGCGTGGTTAGCGTTGGCACGCTTTTTGTCATGCAGCTCCCGAAATTCGTGGTGAGAGTGAGGTGGCTGAAAGGTCCGCCAAATCCATGCAGAGTATTTATCGACATGGATTTGTCAAAGGTGGCTGGCTAAGGAAAAACTTGGCATCATAAGAACATATCCCAGTCCAGGCCGTTTTGTAGCGATGGCCTCCAACCCTCTCAACCTACCTGGCATCATAAGAACTTATCCCAGTCTAGGCCGTCTTGTTCTAATCTGGCGACCATTTTGAAGAAGCGAGACTTATTGAGTCATAGTTATCGTCGCAACACAGGCGACATCGCGATTTAGCCAGGTCATTTGCAGCTTGACCATCTCATTTGCTAAGTTACTAAGACCAATAAGAGAGCACTGAGCATCACTCGGTCGCAAAGAATGACCTGGCACAAGTGAGTAGCCCAAAGAGGAGGCACACTACTACGCCCAGATGGAGTTATCGTCGCTGGGGTTTAGAAATCCAAGTGAGGTGGGACGGGAGCGAATGGGAGTGAAGCAGGATTGTATATATATATATATTGTTTATCTGTTTCATGCTGACAGTAGTTAACACTTATCCCAGAGCGGCGGAAATCTTTGTGCAGACTCCGTTTATTCTCGCGCCGCGATGTGGTGCCTTTTTTGTCTAGAGTCTACATGTTAGAATAGTTTGCCCCACGCTCCATGACTGGTACATGTGGTTTTGATTCACTTGCAAGTCAGTTTTGAGTGTGGGATGGTTTGCATGCTTCAACTGGGTCCGTGGCCAACTCTCCTTGCTGCAGCTTTGGCTTCAAAGAAGCAGCCCTGCTCATGGTCTCAGCATTTGCAATGTGGGGCCGCTTGTCAGCACCTGAAGTGTGTCACCATACAACCTCGAATCAGACAAGCTTGGTCAAGGACGTTTTCATATTGAATGTGTGACTGGGGGTTCAATGGTTTCATTGCTTTTTCTGTACAGGTGCATCAGAGCCGAAGGATGTAAGCCCTGCCTCGACAAGATCTGGCAGCACCAGCTCTCCTTCCTGGGGCACCCCTGTGCAACACGCCTCGCAGTCATTCGCAGTCGTGATATGATATGATATTACTATATACCATAGTTTTGCCTTGATTCACATCTCACATAAGTGAAGTCGGCCTGAAACTGGCGTCAAGCTTAGGTGTCCAGAGGCATGGGCGCTCGGTGACGGCATACCGCAAAAGGTGCTATCGCCGGCCTACTTGTCCTATTCACCACCCAGCATCGTCAGAGAGCCCGGACGACTGGACGCAACACGCGAGCCAGCCTTGGTGACGGCAATCCGCCCTCCACCAGGTTTGGAGCATCTTGATGCTTCGGCATCGCCCCTACACCTCCCCTCACCTGAGCCCTTGGGCCCCTTGGAGGCTTTTGGGTCTCTAGACGCATATCTCAAGGAGTCGTCCAATATTCCAAGCATCCCACCCCCACAGTTCGAAGCCCCTCGTCTCGAGTTGAAGGAGACGCCCCCGGCACCCCATCAAGAGCCTTGCCTGCGGCTGGCCTTGCTACAATACTTGCCCAACACGGAGCCAATACCGATCCATGACAAAACCTCTTGCAGACCTTGCGCCTTCTTCCACACGAAGGGTTGTGTCTCGGCAAGAAGTGGTTCACATTTTGGCTACGAGTTTTTGCACAATTCCCGAGGCCAAAATGGCACACAATGTGAGTTCTGCCACATTTGTCCTCCCGGTGAGAAGAAGAGACGTCAAAAGCTTCGGCGCAAGGTTGGGGTTCGTATGTGTTGTGATTGTGCTTCATTGGATTCCATTCAAGCGTCCACGCAAGCGGGAAGAATCTGCCTTCCGTCTCTCTATACATTCTATATGGCCATTTGTTCAAAGTGCATCACACTACACAAGCCCCTGAGTCACAAAGTGAAGCTTCTTGTGCCCGTGACTGTGGATTCAGAATCCCAGAAACCACGAATTCCTTGCGAAGGATGGCAAGATCAAGATGTGAATAGAGGATTGCCGCCTCCTCAAAAATCAAGTGCAAAGTCTCCCTTGTCGCTTTGAACAATGCAGGATTAGTTAGAGCATTGGTGCGACTCTTTGTGTGCCTCGCTTGTGGCTGAGCATCAGGAGTGGAGTTAGCGACGCAATGGCCATGGCCAAGCCTCTGCTGTGAGCAGTGAAGGGCTGCACTGAAGGAGTATGTGTGAAGCTATGCGAAAAACTGTTCCGAAAGTAGCGGTATGAACCGTTCAAAGAACAGCTTATGATGGGTGCAAAGTGGTACACAAGCCCAGGTGACACCATGCCTGACCAGTGCTTGCCAATGTCAAAACATGAGTAAAGCATGCTGGTACTGGCAAGCATCATGGAACATCAGAGTGGTGAACCAACTTTCTAGAGAACTGTGTTGGTTGCTTTTAGTTGAGAGCCCGAAATCAGTTTGTACCCTTGCACTGATGCTGTACTGATGATGCTGTTGACTCGAAGAATGCCGTTCGTCCCATCAATGAGGGTCACTGTAGTCAAGAGTCGCATTGTATGGTTAATTGGCCACCATGGAGAGTGGGGGCTGGTTCTTGGGAAACGGTTGATTCGATGCTCTTACTCAGCAATCAGAGGCGACAATTACGGGTTGTATGATGTGACGAAGGCTGGAGACAAATCGTGATCACAACAGGATTTTCCCTTTAGATCACATGACTCTGTCTGGAGACAAGGCACCTGCTCGGCAGAAGTGTTGTACAGTTTTGCTGCATGAAGTCATTTTCCCCCAAAATAAGGAACACCTCATGTTTTGCTGTGTGCTAGATAGAAGCTGAAGCGTAGCCAGTCGTCCAGACCTGAGTTCATGCTGGCCTTCCCTGACCAGAAATTTCACTTTAAACACGAAGTCAGCTCATTCTGGCAGTGGGAAAACTGGTAACGGTCAGGGGGGGCACGAATTCAGTGCCGTTCGTAGCTAGGACTTCGGGCAAGCGCCAGAGACTTCGTATAGATATCCTTGCTAGCTGAGAGTGTTGGCAAAGCCACCTCCGGACTTTTTTTGGACCAACATGGTTTTATAGCTCAGTCAGACATGCTGCAAGTGCAAAAGATAGGCAAGATTGCAAAATCCAACAGAGAGATCATCGGAAAATCCGTGAGAATCCACAAAAGCAATCTTTGCAGAGCTATCGGCGTGCAGTATGCAATGTTAACGGCAGCAGTGAAGATCACTTGCGCCACGTGCTGCTTTGAACGATGTACTGTTGCAGCACATTGAATTTAGCGCTATACTATACATTCGTTCAATTCCTGCATGGCTGTCAAAGATTGAGGCGCTCTGTGTGTATGTGTCTGTCAACCCCTGAGGATTCCTTTACTTCAGCAGGCTGATTTTTCATGCAAGTAAGTACCAGCCCAACGAAGAGGCTTGCACACGTAAACAAAACTGTTTGGCCGACACTTTCCCCTTTCGGTTCCTCACAGGGCTGTTTCTGCAGGTTCAGGTTCCCAGCGCTCTAATTGTACAGTAACTTAAAGTGCTAATGCATCCGTAATTCAGTGTTTGATTGAATGTTGCAACCATACATCATACATCCTGAATACTACATAATACTATATAATACTACATGTTGAATTGACACTTTTTTGTTTGGGATGTGCGGAGTGCCAGGGAGCCTTTCTCCATTCCAGGGCCTTGCTTGTGAAGCTTTTGGGCACGGCTTACATTTCTTTGGCTCACCTCCAGTAGCTCAGACTGGACCAAATCCCTTGGCACTTGGCTCCCCGAAAGCAAGTGGAGGGACAATAATTGTAAGGGCTCCGCCCCCTGCCGCCGACCCCGGGGATCTATATTTCAGCCGTGAAGCTGGAAAACAGGACAGAAGTCCGCCTATACGCAACGCAATAGATCAATTCAATTGTTCTTTTATATATAAAAGGAGATTTCCCCCCATTGAGGTGTGAGTTAAAAACATTTGGGTCTTAACATGTCATGTACAGGTGGTTGATGGTGATTGTATTGTCAGTGTTGCAAGCTGTGCCAAGCTCTTTTCAGCGCGTTCGCTCAAAGTCCATCATCCTAAGCTGGACTCGGCCACACCATCACACAGGAATCATTGTATTGGACATTCAGCAGTGTTTGAAAAATTTCAGTGTGGAGCTTGTTGGTAAAAGGGCGCAAGCCGCCTAACCAGCTTCAAAATCAAGGACAAACATCCTTGTCCATCCAACGAATCCCTTAGATCAGCCTCACCACTGCTCCCTGAGCAAGATCTAGATCAGACTTCAAAAAATAGAGCGGCTTGCCTTGGATAAAGACACGGAGCCACGGTACACGACACTTTTCAGCCACGGACACGGAGCCACAGCTTTCCACAATCTAATTCGAGACCAAAAATCGCCCGAAAG